GTGTCCTGCTCTGAGGTCCCCGGCGTAGACTCCCCCCTCCCCTTGCTGGTGTTTGCTGGCCTCCCTGCTCTTCTTGCCACTACAATAGGTAGAAGGAACAGTGTGGGTTTTAATTTATTGAGCACCTCTATATCTTAGTATTATCTCCTCAGATCTCCATAGTAACCCCACAAGATGGGTGTCACCCTAGTCAGTGACTTGCCCAAAGTCACACAGCTACTTGAAGGGGAGGGTGGGGCCTGGGGAAAGTGTCTGGGCCTGGTGGGTGTGGCCTGGGGGTGACAAAAGGGGAGAGAGGGAGAAGGTCCCAGGGCTACCTTGCCCTTGGGATCTTGGGCCACTCAGCCCTGCCCCTCAACCACACAGGCCCCTTTCTGCTCTCCCCTGGGCCTGGACCACTTTTCCCAGCTCTTCTTAAACCTCCACCAGGTCTCCGCTGAGCTCACCTCCTCAGGGGGGCCCTCCCTGACCACCCTGGCTCCACCCTTCCCTTTACTTACTCATTTTCAGGGCCCTTCTGTCATCAGAGTGTTTACTTCTTGCCTCTGTCCCCCACTCGGCAAGAGTCGGCTGCATGCAGCCAGAGCCTTGCTGTCTGGGTCACCGCTGTGTGTCCGGGGTCCAGAACAGCGTCAGAGATGTAGCAGGGGTTCAGGAACCTGGTAGAGGGAATGCGGGACCTGCCCTCACAGCCCCCTTTCTGTGTCCTTCCTCCAGGCCTCCAGCCCAGCTCTCAGCTTCCACCCACACCTCTTCCCAGTGAGAAAGGAAGAAGCCCCCTAACCCTCATAGCCAGGCCTTCCCGTTCTCCTGTTGGGCATTCGCCGCCTTCCAGAACACTGGCCTCAGACAAGGTCACTCTGAGGCACAACAATCCTGTCATAGTTTCATCTGAGCACAGATGAAAGCAGGGTCACCGTGCCACCCCCTGAGTACCAGGCATACCCCCTCTTGCCAAACGAGGGGCTGCTTCCCCCAGGTGTGCACTCTCCCTCCTGCATCGAACAGTAACCCCACTTGTCCACCTGCAGGTGCGTTCCCACTGGTCTCTGGCTGGGGACGTTGACACCAGAGGGAGAAGATACCTGGGTTTTTCTGGATTCGAATCCAGGTCTCCTGATCTTGTTCTTGAACTAGCCATTTTCCTTTTAGGACCTACGTTACCTTATTTCTATAATGAGGCCACTGGTGAGAGCCATCCGATGGGCCTATCCCTGATGGATGGGAGGCAGTATCCAGTCTAAGGAGCCCTGTGTGGGTTAGGTGCCTTTGTCATTAATGTCCCCATTTACAGACGAGGAAACTGAGGCCTGGAGGAGACGTCCCACGGCTGAGGCTCCAGCTCTGGAATGACTGACTCTCAAGTCTTACCCACATGTCCTCCCACCTCATGGCCACCCACACACCTTTGGGGTGGTGGTCATAGTGGTCACTGATCAATGAGGTCACAGGTTCCAGACTGAATAGGGGCTCCAGAACAAGGAGTTCTTGAAACTCAGTGCCCAGGAACCAGACCCTGAACCCCCAAACCTGCCCTCCCTCTCTGTGAGCTGAGCTCAGGGCACTCTTCCAAGTTCCCGCCCACGTTTTGGGCTTTCCTGCTCGCGCACCATTCGCTCTGTGTGCTGGGACTCAGCTCAGTCCTGCCTCTTCAGCTTAGAGGAGCGACTGGGTCTGTTCTGGGGTCAAGTTTGCCGTGTGGGGACACGCTCTCCACGTACAAACACTTACTTAGAAATGCTTTGGCACCTCTGGACTTAAACCCAAACACGTGGGTTTGTATGATGACTCTCACTTCCTGGTGTAGAAACAGGCTCAGAGGAGGCAGCTCACGTGCCCAGGGACACACAGCAGGACTAGGACTTGAACTTGGATTTTGTACCCCAAGGCTGTCTCGCCCCCCAGTTCTGTAGTTGCTCTGGATTTCAGGATTCCGGGCCAGCCCAGGCTCCCCTGTTGGAGTCTGGGTCTGTGGTCTCCGCTGACTGCCACCTCTCTCCCCGCCCTTGCATCCATCCAGGCTTCGGTGGAAACACGCCTCCTCCCTGAAGGTGGCCAACGAGCCCATCTTGGCGTTCACCAAGGGCAGCCCCGAGCGAGATGCACTGCAGAAGGTAAGGTGCAGGGCGTGGAGAGACAGCCTCAGCAGCCCAAGGTGCTTCTCTGTGCTGCGGCCATCACCACTCCTGCCCCTGCTCCCGGCCGAGGGTCTGGGGAGGCTGTGTGTCTGGAGCCTGGGAGAGGCTGGGAGCAGCCGGGGCCATTTGGTCCTCAGTGCCGGTCAGGAGTCATACGCTCACAGAACTTCAAAATGCTCTCCCATTAATTGCTAGTATTTTAAACCTGAGATTCCACATAAAGTTGAGGTGCAGTTTTTGAATCTTTTTTTAAAGGGAAAACCTATCAATACTGGCCTCTCCTTCCTGCATGACAGGAAATGACCGAGGAGGGGCTGCATTCTGTCCCCCCAGGGAGCACACGCTCTCTGGCCACAGCCCCGCCGGCCGCCTCCTTGGTTCTGGTCCTCCGGGCATTGCATTAGCAGACTCCACGTCGGGTTCTGGGTGGGAGAAGGGGAAGGAAGTGCCCGTCTGACATCTTGTCCTCTCCTCAGGCCTTGAAGGACCTGAAGGGCCGGACCGAAGCCATCCCGTGCGTGGTGGGGGATGAGGAGGTGTGGACCTCAAACGTGCAGTACCAGGTGTCGGTGAGTCCAGTGGGCGGGCAGCCCTTGGAGAGGGACAGTCAGTGTATAGGGCACCTCCCCCCTGGGCAGTGACCTCACTCCTCTCTTCTTTCAGCCCTTTAACCATGGACACAAGGTGGCCAAGTTTTGCTATGCAGACAAGGTGAGTCCCTGGCAACTTTGGGGTTGGGGTGCTGCCCCTCTTTTGTCCTGCTGGCTTCAGACTTGGAGGTGGACATCAGGCACTGCTTCCCTCTGGCCGTGGGGGATGGGGGTGTAGATGGGACAGCTGGGAGTGGGAGTCCCTGGGTAGGTGCCTCTAACCGGGCCAGGCCAGCCAGGGTTAGCTGGAGCCTAGTGGGAGCTGCCTTGATCAGGGCTGGACACCCCTGGACATGCTGTTGCCATGGGGCAGACCCTGACGTGGGGCGAGTGGGAGTGGTGGATTCTGGAAGGCTGGGTCAGGGAAATTGGAGACCTCATGGATGGTAAGTCAGACGGCATTGGCATCATCATGGAGGGCCTTGGAGAGGGGATGGGGTCACCTGGGCTGGG